TTAACCCACCAGCCACTCCTTGGAAGGAAGGTTGTGCAGTAGTGATGCCGCCTTGGAAACCCAAGGAGGGGTCGCTATAAGTTGGGTCAGACTTGAGGGCACATAACAACAGCATATCAAAAATGTAAAATTATTATTTACCAGCAAAAATTGTAAGTTTTACCAGCAAAATCTACTCATCTGGGACGGTTCACCAGCAAGTGGTCAGGATCGGAGGTGAGGGTTTATTTTGGCGGCCCAGTCTTCTGGGCATCGTCTTAGCTTCTCAGGTCTGTAGCTGTAGGCCGTGCAGGACATTGTGATAACAGATACCTAGCATTAAAGCTGCCTTTCTAGAAAGGAGAGCCCAGTCCTGGCCTCCCTGCCCTTTTTTGCCTGTGGTAGAGTGGCAGTCGGGTTCAGTGACAGCTGCCATTGCTGGGACTCTGGGTGACAAGATTCTTTTGCTGTGCTGATCGATCAGTGTCCGCATTTGCATATCTCCCTCTTCAAGGGCGAGAAGGTCTTTGTGAAGGTCAGTTGATTTCATTAGCATGGAGACTTGGGAGTCCATCTGGTTGCTGATATGGGGAGCTGGCCTCTCCTGCGTAGTCGATCCTTGTTAGGGCCCACTGTGCCACAGGTGTCTCCTCTTCTGTCCAGGGTCATAGTTTCATTTCCCTCTTCCTCCCTGCATTTCTCCAGCAGGACCAGCAGAATCTCTGCTTCCCACCCAGGGGGTACAGGGGAGGGGACCCCAATCAGACTGGCTGAATCACTGTCCACCCACCTGCACTCCCCTTCAGCTAACATGACCAGGTGTCTTTGCCCAGAGTACTCTTGACCCGCTCGGGCCACTGGGCCTCGCCTGGCACAGCTGCCTCTTCTCTCTACCTGTGAGAGAATGCCCACGTGGTGTTCATTGCCCAGCACCAGTGCCAGCTCTGCCTCCTGCTTTCCCTAGTTCAGCACTCCCCTCTAGTACTCGTGCCACTCTCAGAGCCTGTATCATGTGCTGTCCTGTGTCCCAGACAAGCATGTCCTTGTTGCTCATTCCCAACTAGATTACAGAGGGCCTGGTACATAGAAGGAACATTGTGCAATGAGTGAATGTGAGTCACCTGAAGACAAGCTATATGAATACATACTGTTTCTCCTGCCTGAAATGATTTTCCCCTCCTTTACCTGGCTGGAGAGAACTCTGGGGTACAGTGGTTAAAGAATTCAACTGCTAATGAAAAGGCCAGCTGTTCAAACCCACCAGCCGCTCCATGGGAGAAAGATGAGGCACTCTGCTTCTGTGAAGATTTACAGTCTTGGAAACTCCGTGGGGCAGTTCTGTTCCGTGCTGCAGGGTCGCTATGATTGGAACCAACTTGATGGCAGCGGGCTTTGGTGACCTGCCTGGGCAGGTTCTACTCTTCTTGCTAACTCAGCTCTATAGTATTGTCTGGTCAATGAAGCCTGATGTGGCCTCCCAGGTGGATTTACTTGATTCATCTTTTATGAGCCAACAGGACTCAATGTCTGTCTCCCATTATGGTGTTTAACCCTTTGTATGCTAATTATCATCTCACCAAGCTGCAAACACCTAAATGACAAGGGTCCAGTTGTGGTTGTGTTCCTAGCACAGTGCCTAACCATCACAGGAACTGTATGGCTTTGTGTGATGATTGCATGAGTGACTAGCTGCCCAAGCCTGCCCTGACTTGAAACCCGGCGGTTATGGCTCACAGGTATTGAGCACTTACTAGGAGTCAGACACTTTTCTAACTTCTTCACATACCTCATCTTACTGAATCCTCACAGTTGCCCTGTGATGTAGGTATTAAGTGCCTTCCCCATTTTGTTGTTGTTATGTGTTGTCGAGTCAGCTCCAACTCGTAGCAACCCTGTGTACAACAGAACGAAACACTGCCTGGTGCTGCGCCAGCCTCACAATCCTTGCTATACCTGCTCCTATTGTTGCAGCCACTGTATCCATCCATCTCATTGAGGGCCTTCCCCTTCTTTGCTGACCCTCCACTTTACCAAGCATGATATCCTTCTCCAGGGAACAGTCCCTTCTGACAGCATGACCAAAGTAGGTGAGATGAAGTCTGGCCATTCTTGCTTCCAAGGAGCATTCTGGCTGTACTTCTCCTAGGATAGATTTGTTAGTCCTTCTGACAGTCCATGGTATTTTCTATATTCTTTGCCAACACCACAACGCAAAAACATCAACTCTTCTTTGGTCTTCCTTATTCATTGTCCAGCTTTCACATGCATATGAGGCAATTGAATACCCATTTGACAGATGAAGAAATAGAGGCACAGAAAGCTGATGTAAATCTCCAAAGGTTGCACTGTGGGGCTTAGAACTCCCATGGTTTAAACCGCAGTGCCCACTGATCCAGTCTGATTAATGTCTCTTTGCACAATGGTCCTCTTTCTTGGACACTGACCAGGGGCAGTGCTTGAGGACTTACCTGGAGCCTTTGTATTGCCTCCTTTAAATCTTTTTCCCTTTGCCTTAAACCTCATCTTCCGGGCACTGGTGCTTCTGGTGCTTTGTGGCAAGAAATAGACTTAAGAGAGCCATGTGTTAGCCTGCAAGGGCACATGCCAGCTCCTGCCACCTCCCAAGCAAGTGCTTAGTGCATTTGGGAGCAGAATGGTTAGGAGAGAAGCAGTGTAAGGTGGTTTGTCGGCCCAGCAACAGGACTTAATGGCCACGTTTATTGGGAGGTGCTTGGGAGCTGGTGGATGCTTCATTAGGCAACTAATGAGGGCTTTTTGTTTAAATTATGTTGTTCTTGTGAATATACACAGCAGTACAAACACCAGTTCAACAGTTTCTACGTGTACCTTTTAGTGACTTTGAGTTGTTCAACTATTCTCACCCTCCTTTTCTGAGCTGTTCCTCCCCATTAACGTGACCTTACTGCCTCCTAAGGTTCCTCTCTAACCTTTCGCGTTGCTGTTGTCAGTTCGATTCCTTATAGATAGTTCTTAAAAAAGCCTGATGCTAAGGGCTGATCTTTTTTTTTTTTTTTTTTTTAAACTGGTTAAGCTAAACTATCATTTGGTTTTATGAAAACTTCAGAGGATGGTTTATTAATAAGGGTTTAAGAAACCACTGTGGCTTAGGGAGCTGTCTGGGTTCTGGTGAGATCTCCTCCTCTAGGGATTTGAGGAATGCCCTGTCATCCTTGACCTGGATTTATTTATTCTTTAACTCTACAAATATCTATTGAGTTCTCTCTATGGACTCTTAACCTGGAGTGGTCAATGGGAGCATATTACATGGACCCTACCCTCCATGATTAATATTAATCTAGTATGATTATAAGACATAACTGCAGGGAATCATACTGTGGACTGTCCATCATGCAAACCTGCACTATGTATGTGAGAAGTGTGGAAAGGAGACAGTATTACAAAAGGGACCACAGTGTAGTGAGAGACCTCTGGCCTGGGAATCCCAGATTTGGGTTCTATTCCTTGATATTTTCAATGTGACCTCAAGCCAGTCACCTTACCCTTCTAGGCCTTTTTTTTTTTTTTTTTTTTTGGGTCATCTGTGAAATAAAAGGACTGGCTTAGAATAGATTGCTAAGGTTCCTTTCAACTCCCTCAGCCTGTGATTCTTAGTGAAAGGTTATCAAAACATGACTTCTGATTAACTGATTGATATGTAAGTAGTATAGTCAGTAAGTTCTAGGAGTTAGAGAAAGCAGGTCCTAGGTAGGAGGCAGACTGCTCAGGACACATGGGATGAGAGGATACATGATCAGGCTGGTGGGTGATACCCCTTCAGAGGTATACTTGGCTATAAAAACAGGTGGCTTTGAAGCCCAGGTTGACCCCTTCCTGGTTTATTCTGGTTTCTCCCAGGTCCCTGCACCCCTGAAGTCCAACCAGCCAGACTTGTCCCCTGACTGTGAGGGCTGAGCCACCCACCCACTTTCTACTTCCTTCACCCTCCTCACTGCAGAGGGGCCTTCCCCAGCAGGGCAGTGGTAAACACAGGACCTCAGCTGCCTCCAAGCTTCCGGGAACCCAATCCCCTTCCCCCGCAGCAGACACAGGGATGAGAAACAGGGCCATCAGGTAGTGTTTATGTAAAACAAAAATGAACATTTCCCCCTGCCCCTCCTGGCTTCACAAGGAGCCTGGCCCATGAAGGAGACTTAATCAGTGACTCTCCAGTGGGGTACGTGTCCCCAGGTCAGCCACAACCTTGCTGTCTGTGAAATGAGATTCCTGCTAACCATAAAGAATGGTGTTCAGCATTATTGTAGAGCTACTAGCCAACATGAAACCTTCCTCTGTGTGTGTGTGTGTGTGTGTGTTTTCCTTAGACCTGGACTCAGTGTTCCCTTTCTTCTTCTGGATCCTCCTGCCAGAGAGCAGATGGGCTGGGAGATGATTTACAAAGAGCTCCCAGTTACTGTTGTGTTAACTCCGCTGTGGGTCAGATCAGATCCTCACCCAAGCACTCTCTCCCAGCCTTGTCCCTGAGTTCCTTGTTGGATCATCTTTCCTTATCCACTAGCGTGAGCTCAGGGAAGAACAACGAATTTTACCCTAAATAGATATAATTAAGAAGTAATTATGTGTTCCAGAAAACTCATAATGTAGTCTCAAGCCAAATAAAATTTGCAGTCTGAAGTTATGCGTACAATTGCATGGCCATTTGAGGTTAGTCTTTTTTCAAAATATAAACTGGATCTGGTCTGATCATTGCTCAAAGCCACCCCCAGCTGTTTCCCATCCCACTTCCATACCACCTTCCTGTTCCTCAAACATACTCTGTCGCCACCACAGGGCCTTTGCATCTCCCTTCTTCTGTACTGGAAGTCTCCTCCTCTAGACTTTCTGGTGGCTGCCTTCTTCATTTCATTCGATTCTGTGCTCAGATATCACCTCTACAGTGATGACTTACTTGATCATCTAATTTAAACATCCCTATCCCACCCCGACCCCTGCTGTATTTTCTTCCAAATACTAGTATCTGAAAATCTATTACAGTCATGTACCACATAAAATTCATTCAGGCAGCATTCAACTGCATATAAGCTCATGGTCCATAGGTTATAATAGAATTCAGAAATACCATTTGGAAAATGGGACGTAGCGAATGCAGTAGCTTCCCGCACATGACACGTGTATCTCCTATCTCTTGTCTACAGAGCAGTTGGGCTGTCATGTATCTAATGGTATAGTATGTATATTAGCTATAATGCATATGTCTTGATAGCCATATTAAAAGTCAGGGTTACTGGCCTACACATGTACTGTACTTTCTGTCATTATTTTAATGTGAACTTTCCTTACTTACCAATAAAAAGTTTACCTATAACAGTGTACGCTTCGACTCACAAGCAGCTGCATCCAATCTCCTGTATTATGTGTTTCTTAAGTGTTGTAGCATTATCTCTTTGTTTCATTTTCTGTCAAAAATATTACCATGAAGAGCATCATGGCTCCCAAAGCTATCAAAACCAGTGCTAGTGATAGCAGCAGCAAGAGGCAAAGGAGAGGTAGCAATTTGGAAGTGAAACAAAGGGTTATTAAACAACACGAAGGTGGAAAAATCAGCAGATGCTGTTGCTGGCTGTGAGGCATATCTGTTGGCTAAGTATTTAACATGGTGTCTGTAAACATCCCATTTCACAGACTGTGTCCTAGACATTAAGCCATACATGCCTGTATTGTTTTCACTTACTTGTCTATCTTCCCTTACCATGATGTCAGTTTTTTGAGAGCAGCATCTTGTTCATCACTTCCTTCCAGACACCTAGCCCAGTGCCTGACCCATAGTAGGGACTCTGTCTGCTCAGTGAATGCAGAGTGCCTGTGTATCTAGAAAGGAGGGGGCCATGACATTGGGTAAGGGAATCCTACATTGGAAGAGCTGGGAGGAATGGCACAGGATGAATAAATGTTACCTCACTGCTTCATTCATAATGAACCAGCTCCCCTTCCTGCCTTGTAAAGGATCCTGACAAGTTCCAGTTTGGCCGCACCAAGATCTTCTTCCGGGCAGGCCAGGTGGCATACCTGGAGAAGCTGCGGGCCGACAGGTTCCGAGCAGCCACCATTATGATCCAGAAAACCGTTCGGGGCTGGCTGCAGAAGGTGAAATACTGTAGGCAGAAGAGGGCCACTCTAACCCTGCAGAGGTACTGCCGAGGATACCTGGCCCGCAGGTGAGCCAAGCCGTCTCCCTGTTGTTCATATCTGGGGCAGTAGAAGGTGGAGCAGGGAAGGGCTTGTTGGTCTCTCTCATCATCTGTAGTTTGAGCAGCTCCTGTTAGGCCCTGTCTGTCTTACACCCACTTCAGGGAACAGGTCTGGTTCTCAGGTCTCCTGGTTCCTCCATCCCACCAGCATGAATCCAGGATGAAATGGTTTTGCAGTAGACCAACCATTCTTCCTGTGCCTAAACCCCCAAAGTAAAAATAACTTATTTTAAAAAAAGAGCAAATTCAGCCTTTCTTTCCCAGTTAACTTATACTCAACCTCATTATTTATACCACCAGTTTCTGAATTCCTTGGGATTTGGGGAATGAGGGCTGGAAAGGTTCTGGGAGATCCCTTTTGACTGCTAACCAAAAGGATGGTGGTTCAAACCCACCAGCCACTCCTCAGAAGGAAGATGGGGCAATCTACTTCCATAGTGATACTGCCTCGGAAACCCAAGGAGGGGTCGCTATGAGTCGGGTCTGACTCGACGGCACATAACAGCAGCAACAACAACAACAGACAGTCCAAAGAAAGAGTGATGTGTCCAAACACAAGCCAGTACCTCGGGGCAGGGCAAGCCTGCCTTAGCCCAGTGCTGTGCAGAATAAACTGTTTGTAGTTCTCCACTCCTAGCTGATGTCATTGCATAGATGAGATGGCTGAAGCAGTCTGCACTGTCTTCACTGAGCTAGGTAACGAGGACCTGGTTCCCGAGAAGACCACACCTCCAGGCTTTCACATTAGTCAGCAGATTTGGGACCAAGCCTGGGCTCAAGATCAGGGAACTCTCCAACTAGGAAATTTTTTGGAGAAGTGATATAATTGCCATGAAATGTTACATTGGGCAGCCAACATTTCATGGGTGGCTGCTCAATCATCTCTGCTTAAATCTAGGAAAACAAGAAAGTCATCCTTTGTACCATAAAAGCTTAACCCCCTTTGCTCACCGTAAGGTGTTTACCCAAGCATAACCAGAAACATTGAGTACATTAAGTGTCGTTAATTACCTCCCAACTGTTGAGAGACCAGCTTCCGAACAAAAGTTATAGAAATGAGAAGACTGCTGGTGATCTCAATACTAAGCAGTAGCTGACATTGTGTGCCAACTTGTCATGTCATCATTGGTGTCCCTGTATACAGGGCTCGGCCTCAGCTCCGCATGGGTGAGGTTATAAAGCAGAGTTGGCCTTCATTCTCCTCATGGGGAATTTATATTCTAGTGCATATGCAAGACCTGTATGTGGAGAAAGCACCTATGAGAGCTAGGTAAGTGGTCATTTCAGCAAGCAGGTGGGGTGGGGTGGGGTGGGGGCCAGGCAGGCCACGTCATCCTCACTGGCTGCATTTGAGGCCTCCTAGGATCCTTTCTAGCTTCTGAAGCCCCTGGGTGGTACAGACAGTAAATGTACTGCTTATGGAAAGGTTGTAATTTTGAATCTACTCAGTTGCCTCAGAAGAAAGGCTTTGGCAATCTGCTTGTGAAAAATCAACCGTTGTAAACCCTGGGGACACAGTTCAACTCCGACACACGTGGGGTCGACATGAATTAGAGTCAAATTGATGGCGAATGTTTTGTAATTGTTAACATTCTGAGTCTCCACTTGAGCGTTTGAGATGGACCTGGTACCCAACAAAACCCTTGAGAAGGGTAGAAAGTGTTAGACTTACTTTCTGTCTTCACTGGGAAAGGGTGGGAATGCAGAAATGAAACAGAAGAGAGTTGTTGATGTCCACATTCAGTACATCCCAGGCAGAAAGGATGGAGGAACGAGGAAATAGGGAGGAACCAGTGTGAGCCTGAGAAGGTCTTATTCATTCAGCAAACAGTCACTGAGCACCGACTATGCTTGGCCCTGTGCTAGATGTAGGGGACACCAGGATGACTGAGGTACAGCCCCTGATATCCCTAAGCCCAATGAAGATCAGAGGGACTGAGGACTGTTCAGATTGCTGTGAGGGGCGTGCAGGTGGGAGTGGTCAGGCAAGGATCAGAGTTGTACTTAGAATGCATTTTAGGCCTGTGCAAAGACCTTGGACAACTTGGAGAAAGCTGTTGCTGTTATTTTGAGCCTGAGCCTCAAGTGCCTGGGCATCACTAGAATCAGCAAGGAGATGAGTTAGTTTGGGCTGGAGTTGTCCTGGTAGAGCCATGGGGGAAGGGCTAGGCTTCATGAACAGCGGCCAGCAAGGCCACACTGTGACACTGCCCATTCCCACCCCGCAGGCTGGCTGAGCATCTGCGGCGGACCAGGGCAGCCGTGGTGTTCCAGAAGCAGTTCCGGATGCGCAGGGCCCGCCTGGCCTACCAGCGGGTACACAGGGCTACCGTCGTCATCCAGGCCTTCACTCGGGGCATGTTTGTGCGCAGAGTCTACCGCCAGGTACGTCAGCAGCAGCCACCCCAGGGCCTCCCAGGATGCAGCTTCAGAACTAAAGCACCAGCAGCAAGTGACAACTCGTCACCGACACGAGCATGCATGGGGTACTCCTAACTTCCTTTTAAGTGCTTTCATGTCTCTGCAAACTGAGGCCTTGTCAGGGTCCTATGAGGCAGGATGGGTATATGTTCAGCAGCTGAGTCAACTACCTGAGGGCTTATGGTCAGCAGAGCCTGGTGACCCATCTTGGGCTCTTCTAGATTTGAGAGCAGGAGGCAATTTTAGAAATCACATGCTCTAGCTCCTCCGTTCGATGAATTAGGAACCTGAAGCCCAGCAAGGTGAAGTCAGGAGAGGGTCCCAACCTCCCTACTGCCAGGCCATTGCATGTCTCATGATTCCAGTGAAGCTGAAATACCGGGGCAGGGAGTCCTGAGTCATGACACAGCCATGCCACCAAATCACACCAACACAACTGAAGCTCAATGCCAAGATGATACAGATAGATTAGAAGGAAATGTCTTAAAAAAAAAAAATTTCAAAAATGAACATCTGTCTTTGATAAGAAAATACGCTATTCCCTAAATAATGAAAGTAAAGCACTAAATTAATAACCCAAAAATAAGGCCAGGTATCAGAGTAGAGCACAGCATAACAGAACTTGTGGACAAACCCAGGCCAGTGGGAGAGTCTGAAGATTCTTGAGAGATAAATGACATCTGTGTGATGTCACCATGGGAAAGACAGGTGACATTTGTGAGGCAACCAGCTCAGTGCAGCACATGAAGAGAGCAAGCACAAGGTCTGGACCCCGGCCCTTCCTTTCATAACCTGTGATGTTGGACATTTGTATGTGGATTAATTTCCTCCACACGCATTTATTTTGCAGAGTATTCAGGAGAGAACATCAAGAATACTTTAATTTCTTTAGTGGTTTTTTTTAGTTGGAGGCTGACCCTCTGGTGGACAAAACAGTGAATTACAAGCCAAGGGTCGGCTCTTCTGTTAACCTGCTGTGGACTCCCTTGAGTATCTCATTTCATCTCTCCAACTCACTACCAACAGGACAGGGTCTTCATCTGGATAATTTTTAGGTCCCTCCAACTTGAGGGCTTTAACAATAAAACAAACAAAAAATAACACTGAGTGTGATGGCAGCTGCTTCCCTGTGGCTACACAAGCTGTAGAACCTAGCTAAAACTTGATCCTAAAACCCACTTTAAATCTGTGGGAGGCCTGTTCTCCTTGTATCTCCTAGGTGGACCTTGGCTGTCAGTCCGTGCAGTTACGTAAGCTTTCCTTACACCCTATCCTACAGTGCAATCCCACAGAGTGTATGTGCTTGTCCCCTCCAGGTTCTCAGGGAGCACAAGGCCACCGTCATCCAGAAGCACATCCGAGGCTGGGTGGCACGCAGGCGCTTCCAGCAGCTACGGGACGCAGCCATTGTCATCCAGTGTGCCTTCCGGATGCTCAAGGCCAAGCAGGAGCTGAAGGCCCTCAAGATCGAGGCCCGCTCAGCAGAGCACCTGAAGCGCCTCAATGTGGGCATGGAGAATAAGGTGGTCCAACTGCAACGGAAGATTGACGACCAGGTCAGTGTCAAGAATGCCCACTCAGGTGTTGGGGAGTGGGGGCGAACCAAGGGCATGTGTGAGAGAGACCTACAGCTTCCTCAGGGAACTACACCTGCCAGAGACCTAAGGGAGCATGGATGTCTTCAGGTATTGTCCCACCTGGTGAGAACATTACTAACTGTGGTGGCCAGAATAATGGTGCCCAAAAATGTCTGTGCCGCTATCCTTGCAACCTGTGAGTACCTTACCTTACATAGCAGAAGGGGTTTTACAGGTGTGTTTAAGTTAAGGATCTTGAGAAGAGGTGCCTGTCCAGGTTGGTTTGCAGTGATGCTAGGTCAGGGAGGAGAGCACATCTGGCACAGGAGGAAACCCCCCAAAAGCAGTTGCCATCAAGTCAATTCTGACTCATGGTGACCCCGTGCATTTCAGCGAAGAACTGTACACAGGGATTTCAGTGGCTGGGACCTTTCAGAAGCAGAACACCAGGCCTTTTTCTGAGAACCTGTGGCCAGCTCTTCTATTAGTAGCCAGCCACTTAGCCATTTGGGCCACCCAGGAACTGTTGCTCAGAGAGACAAAGGAAGGGAAAAGAAGAGTTCTGCTCAGTGGCTATTTGCAAACTGTAAACACAAAGCGGACCGTGGTGGTGGTGGTGGTGGTGGTGGTGGTGGGACTGTAGTTGACACTTGCATGGTCAGATTTTTACCCATTAGCCCTCCATGCAAAGTGCTGTCAGAGGGAGAGTGGCTTTGACTCTGCTGAGCTGTCAGGGTCCCTGGGTGGGGGACTGGCCACCTCGTATCCCATCCCCAGGCTCTGCATCAACACTCTGCTGGTTTGCAAAGCTGACTGGAGAGGTTAAAAATAAATCTGGTATTTTACAATCCACGTGCTTGAACATCAAAGAGAAACAGATTTAAAAGGCCTATTTTTAAAAAAAGCTCTTTGCCTTAAGCTTCCTGCTTGGCAAACATCTGTGACTGTTGGCAGCAGACCATCCTGTGTGCCAAGGGTGAGCCGAAGGGGTAGGGGGCGTGGATTGGCTCCTGCTTTCTTCCACCCCTGTTTATGTGGCCTGACTATGTGCCACTCACCCTTCTGAATGCCTACCTCTCATTTAATTCTCACTACACCCCATGAGCTAAACATTAATATTATTCCTGTTTTGAAGATGGAAAACCTCAGGCACAAAGAGGTTAAGTGGCCAGCCCGAGGTCAGGCAGCCAGTGGCATGGCTGGGATTGAAACCTGGCAGTCTGATTCCAGAGTTGTGCTCTTCGAATGCCTTATTACCTCCCACCAAACTGCCAGGTCCCTGCCCACTCGGAGGCTCTTGGGACATGAGAGTAGAACTCCTCAGTCCATGGAGATCCTTAGCCTTGTTTGGGTTCATGCTTATACAGATGACAGCATTGTCCTTGGGACTGGCTGGCTTTTACAGTGGAGTATGTGGCCCAGTGTCAAAGGACATGCTTGGTACTGTGTCACGAGTGGTGGCATCAATGTGACCCCCTTTCCCCACTCTTCAGAGATGCTTGCTCTGTTGGAGTCACTAGCAGATGTGGCCAGCCACTGGGAAGTGCATGGGTGTTATTTCTCCTTCTGAAGCATGGAGAGGGCCTGGGCAGCTGCTGTCCTGCACACAGGGTTATTTAGCCAGAAGGCGAGGCTCCGTGAATGCCTGGGGCCACCAGAGGTTCTCCGGCAACACTTGACAGGGTAAGAGGAGCATGGACTGGGTCTCAGCCAGACAGAGGGCCGAGTTCTGCCTCAAGTTTATCTGCAGGGAGCATTGTTAGGTGGAAATACAGCCTTATTTCTAATTGGGTCTTAGATTCTTCAGTGATCTTCTAAGATCTCTAAGGTACCTTCTAGTTGATAGATTCACTGGTCATGACTCCAGGCTGCACTGTAGAGTCATCTTTTAAATAAAGCAATGCCACTACCAGAGCTCAGGGAAGTAGGAAACTGAAAGTTAAAAAGCCCAAAATTCACATCATTAGGTCTTGCTGGCCCTGGTAGAGAAGACAAAACACCAATTTGGTGCTGAGTTCCCATGCAAACCATAGGAGGAAGGAAACAGTCAGTTACCAGGTTTGGGTTTTGTTTTAGAGAGTGAGAAACGGGGCTGGTTTAAGAGGCTCGGGGCTGTCCTGGTGCTAAGACGTTTCTCCTGTGGTTTTCATCTGTGATGCAGTGAGTCTGACCCCTCCACAGCATCCTTCAGCAGTCAGTGCAGTGACATTTTCCTGTGACCTTTTCTGACAATGTCTCTGTGTTGGCCTCTGGTGTGACATTATTCAGTCAAAATAATTCTTGCAAGGGACCAAAATGATGTCAGCCATGCACTCTGCTGTCTGCCAAACTGGCTTTATTCCTGTTAGAGTGCAAAAACGGCAAGGAGGCCACATGTTCTGACCTCCTCTAATCTCACAAGAGGAAGACAGCAGTAACCCAAGGCCTATTCCTGCAAGGCCAAACATGCTGCCTCCCTCCAGCCCTTTCACCAACCGTTCCTCCCAAAGCACCCACCACCTCTCTCCTGGGTTCGATAATTCACTGCAGTGGCCACACAGAACTCACAGATTACAGGATTTATTAGGGAAGCACCAGGCTACAACTCAAATTCAGGAAGAACGCTCAGTCTCTCTCCCAGCCCACCACCCCTCAGCCAAGAGTCTCTCACAGTCTCTTTCCGGGGTGCGTGTCTCTTGCATCTCTTTCCCAGCAATGTGTGTCTCAGGCGCCCGTGTCTCTTTCAGCAGCAAGTCTTCCTCGACCAGCAGTCTGAGAGAGTTCCACCTCCAGGAGGTCTCCTTTAGAGCCCGCAGGGTGGTCAAACTAGCCAATTATGGCATCAGAACTCTAAGCACCTGAGAGAGAGTGGGCACCTCCCAGAACATTGTTTTGTGCCACTCCCAACAGAAATACTCCAGGTGGACACCTTCAGCAATCAGGAGTTCCTCAGTTGCTCATAGCAAATTCCACCTTGGAGTTTACAAAGACTTATGGGTAGAAAAGCCACACAAAGTAATTTACTATACCACATAGAGTAACTAGGTCTGTGGAGCCTACAACTTTCTATAATTTCAAGCTTCTTTGACCCATGTGATTATATGGTTATGTTTAAATATATTATATCTGAGAAAATATGACACAAATCTATTGAGTCAGTAACTCTTAAATCAACTTGATTCATGATACTTAGTAGGCACTCAGGACATTTGCTAAGTTAGTTCATAGTTTATGATTCACGACAGCATCGATACACATCTGAAAAACAGTGTGCTCCAAGTCCCAGCCTGGGGCCCTCTGTGCCTCAGTTTCCTCATCTGAGAAATGAGGATATTCCACCATCCTTACCATGTGAGAGCTTTGAAAGGAGTCAATGTGTTAAAAAGGAGACCTGGTGGTGCAACAGGTATGCCCTGGGCTGCTAACCAACAGATTGGTGGTTCAAACCCACCCAGCAGCTCCACAGGAAACAACTGGCATCTGCTCCTATAAGTTTGCATGTTGTTGTTAAGTGTCATCAAGTCAGTTTCCACTCACAGCAAACCTGTGTACTACGGAACAAAACATTGCCTGGTCTTGCTCCATCCTCACAATCATTGCTGTGCTTGAGCCCGGCATCACAGCCACTGTGTCAGTCCATCTCATTGAGGGTCTTCCCCTTTTTCATTGACCCTCTACTTCACCAAGCATATATCCTTCTCCAGGGACTGGTCCCTTCTGATAACATGACCAGATTATGAGAGGTGGAGTCTCACTTCGAAGGAGCAATCAGGCTGTACTTATTCCAAGACAGATGTATCCATTCTTCTAGTAGTTTATGGCACATTCAGTATTCCTTGCCAACACCACAGTTCAAAGGCATCAGCTCTTCTGTCTTCTTATTCAGTGTCCAGCTCTCATGTACTGAGAGGCTATTGAAAATACTATGGCTTGAATCACGTGCACCTTAGTTTTCAAAGTGACATCTTTGCTCTTTAATACTTTACAGAGGTCTTTTTTAGCACATTTGCCCAATGTGATATACAGTGTCTGGTTTCTTGACTGCTGTTTCCATGGGTGTTGATTGTGGACTCAAGCAAAACAAACTCCTTGACAACTTCAATCTTTTCTCCATTTATCATGATGTTGCTTATTGGTCCAGTCGTGAAGATTTTTGTTTTCTTTATGTTGAGGTGTAACCCACACTAAAGGCTGTGATGTCTTATCTTCATCAGTAAGTGCTTCAAGTCTTCTTTACTTTCAACAAGGAAGAAGAGGTTACTAAATTAATAATTAATTTTACAGCCTGGAAAACCCTATGGAACAGTTCTGTTCTTTCACGTGGGGTTGCTAAAAATCAGAATTTACTCATCAGCTCATAACAACAGAGTTACTGCATCACAAGCATATGGTACAATGCCTGGCTCATAGTAAGCACCCAGTAAGTGGCGGTGGTGTATGTGGGGTGTGCTGTTTTCATTACACAGCCTGCTTGTAATAATCTGCTTGCTCCCATTCCCTGTCTCCAGCATCTATTGCCCACAGATTGGAGACCACTCAGGGCCTCTGGGTACAGTTTTACAGGTTGTTCCCTACACAAGAGTGCCTAGGTGCAGGGATACCCACCAACCACTGTGATCGAGTTGATTCCGACTCATGGCAACCTTATAGGACAGAGTAGAACTGCTCCATAGGGTTTCCAATGCTTTATGGAAGCAGACTGCCACATCTGTCTCCCAAGGAGCAGCTGGTGAGTTCCAACCACCAACCTTTTAGTTAACAGCCGAGCTCTTTAACCACTACAGGTGCGGGGACAAAGGGGGCTGAAATGTAGCCATGCTCTACTCTCCACCACTCCCCCGATGCTGACCTGAGAAAAGGGCTCTGTCTGTTCTAAGCTGTGCACCTGGGACTGTGTCCTCCCAGAGGGGCAACTTTTCCACACACACACTGAGGGCACCTTTTCTGCTCTACACAAAGGTGCTGCAGAGGCCAGCAGAGGCCCTGGAATCACTGATGGAGGAACAGGTGGACACCATGACTTTCAAGCAAAGATAACATTTTAAGCACAAAAAAGATCTTGCTGTCTTAGTTATCTAGTGCTGCTCTAATGGAAATACCACAGCTGGATGGCTTTAACAAACACATTTATTTTCTCACAGTTCAGGAGGCTGGAAGTTCACATTCAGGGTGCTGGATCCAGGGGAAGCCTTTCTCTCTGTGTTGGCTCTGGAGGAAGGTCCTTGTCCCTTCAGCTTCTGCTTCCTGGTTCCTTGGAGATCTCTGTGTGTCTTGGCATCTATCTTGTCCCATTTCTCCTCTCTGCTCACTTGGTTACTCTCTATTATATCTAAACAGAGACTGACTCAAGATACACCCTTCAGTGATTCTGCCTCATTCACATGACAAAGACAACCCATTCCCAATCAGGATTATAAACACAGGCATAGAGGTTAGGATTTACAGCACGTAATTTCGAGAGGACATAACCAATCCATAACACTTGCCTAATCAAACCTTTAAGGACAAAAATGAACTTTTGAAAAAGTAACAAGTAGCAGAGTCTGGAGTTGTCTTCCCAGACAGAGTCCTTGTTGCCAGTTGAGGAAATATCTGTGCCCTTGTGTGGGAGGCTAAGCCCGGAGCCCAGTGAGCAGCTTCTCGGATATCGGAGGAGCCCAAGGACAGCAGGAGCCTGTCTAGAAAGTCCCAGCCCTCTGCCCGGTGTGGGCCAGCCCCAGCTGGTGCAGGACAGGCCTGGCCAGGTCTCAGATGATACGGAGAGAGGCAGCTCTGGGGAGCTCAGCCTGGCAGTGCAGGCAGGATTCTGGGGGCCTGGGGAGTTAGCGCCCTGTGCTAGCCCCTGCACAAGACTGGGATGCACAGCTATGGGTGCCTGCAGGTAAGAGGACAAAGGCAGGAAACTGCTGAATCCTTTTGGAGGGGGCAGGGTCTTCCTTTCTGATACCCTTGAAGCACAACCAGGACACAAAGTATTCTGCCACAGTGAGTTCCCTGTGACTACTTAAGGAGATGCTCTTGGTCAGCTATTGAAAATCTTTCCACCTGCATCCCAGGCAGCCAGCAGAGAACATCTCTCCAAGGAACTCCTTAGAGGACTCTGAATGATGAAAACAGTGTTTATTGAGCACTTACTATGTACCAGGCACCCAGCTAAGTACTTTAGCTCCCTCAATCTTTATACCATCCCTGTGAGGTAGGAGTTACTAGAGGAGACTGGGGGGGGGCGGGCAGAGAGTTTGAGTCAGACGTGCACAGCTGATCAAAGACAGCGCTGGGGCCTAATCAGATTCCAACCACCCCTCTACCCAGCGCCAGCCACTCCTAAGCCCTCAGTTTCACCAAGTCTGATCTGGGCTTCCTGGATGAATTAGACTCTGCATCAGAGTCTGAGGTGTGACCTCTGTCCGTAGCAGGATGCCATTTTCTGCCTGTCACAGAACAATAGTTCTTCTTGAGGATCCTTTAGGGTAGGAGGGTGTGTCTGCACCCCAGCCAATTCTGTATCTTTTCCCCACCTCCCACACCAGCTCATCTAGAGACCCCCTCAGCCCTGTCCTCCTCACTACTGCTGATCTGATGATACAGGCCATGCTTCACTTCCAGCCAAAGCTGAGATCTTGTCTGAGGGTAGCTAGTCCAGTGCACATTCCCTCCCAGAATCCCCTCTGTCCCTGTGTACAGACCCTCTGCCTCCAGGGGAGAGCCAAGCCAAAGAGGGCAGACACAGGTCTTGGGCTTTTTAAAACAAATGCTGCTTTATTGGATTTTTTTTAGCACTGACTTAGAGCAAGGGTGGCAGGCCTCGCATAAAGTAGATCAGATTGCCACTAGAAGAGTCCCACAGATGGGAGGAGCCTTTGTCTCTGGGTCCATTTAGAAGCGCACTGCTTGCCCACTGGCACGCAGATCACAGTCTTGAGGTCTGCGGCGTGTGCACCATTGTACTGGCTCCAGTAGCTTCCCTCTCACTGCTCCGCCCTGCTTTCCACAAAGTTCCATTTCTGGTGTGGACTAATAATTGATGCTTGATGCCTCAGCTTACTGGTATTTTAGCCAATAGCTCTGTTCTGCTTGGAGTGCCTGCAGAGAATAACAATCAAGAGTAATCAATGACTGTTTGTTGCTTGATTGATTCTTTGGGGAACCCTACTTCTTCCTCTCTACTCTTCACCACTGACCACTTTAGTTGATACTCTCTCCTGTGGAACCAGTATCTTCACCTAAGTGACAGTTTAGCCCTTGGCACCAGCACTGGGAGTGCTTCATGCGTGTGACTCTTATCTTATGGTCCACTTCCCAGTGTCCCTCCACACCTGTCATTGCACTAGGCACACAAGGGACTGCTTCCTACCTGCATCTTGGTTGAGTGGGTACAAGATTGGGTAGCCAGTCTGCAGGGGCACAACACAACGGCTTTTGTGTGGCATCACTCCTGGCGTTCACGTCTCACAGGGTGAGCCACTGACAACAGATGGTGACAGTGATCCCTGGGCCCCACGGAGGGCTTTCTTGGAAGAGGGGATGCTGAAGGGGTCCTTTGTCTCAGAGTCCGCGATTAGGTTGCAGCTCTTTGTGTCAGCAAGTCCAAGGCCCTGGAGGGCTTAGTGCAAAGGAGCAGGGGAACCTAAAAACACAAAGGATACTGATCCCAGAAGTTGGCTACATTATTTTGCCAACTTTAAAACCAGATGTAAGATCTGGCCAACCCAATATAGGAAGCCAACAGCTGTCAGCCACCTCCAGCTCAGAAACAGTCCTTGGACGTTTCAGTAACGTCAGGTTCACAATAGAGTTGTGTTAGGAAGATGCCAGGAAAGCATTTGGACATGTGAGCATGTGAGATATAATGCTACCTTGGAAGTTCCTTTATTTTATGCTTTTTCCTGGCCTCATCACCTCTACTTTATGCTTCTTTCTCCCCTCTCTGTTTACTCATGCTCTCCACAGAACAAAGAGCTCAAGACACTGTCAGAACAGTTGTCTACAGTCACCTCCATACACACCATGGAGGTGGAGAAGCTGAGGAAGGAGCTGGGGCAGTACCAGCAAAGCCAGGGTGTGGACACCAGCCGGGGGCTGCAGCAGGAGGTGGAGAGCCTGCGGCTGGAGCTGCAGAAGGTCCACTCGGAGCGCAGAGTCCTGGAGGACGCCCACACCCGGGAGAAAGACGAGCTGAGAAAGGTATGCTGGAGGCCAGGGGCTGGAGCACCTCTCAGAGATGGTTCCTTCTTCAGTCTCTGAAATTGCCGTGGATTTCCCCGGAGCTCATGCTCACAAACTGGGTCGTTCCTCTGCACACCAATGGGCCTATTACTTAGTCACCCCAAAATTCAACCTATCCATGCATTCTCAGCCAGTCTGGAAGCTACAGATTTTCCCAGTGGGACCTGCATCAGTAAACCAGACAGCCTAGAGTTCCCCTTTAGCAGGCCATACCCCCAAAATAGGCAGACTTGTCTAAGTCAGAAATGCCGAGGTCTTTCTCATGTACTTCCTGACTGGATAGCCCTCTCCTCCCCTGCTTAGAAGGGGTATATGGATTCCACCCCCTGGAGGCTTTAGCGTCCCCAAGGGGCACTTCGGAAACACGAGCCTTTCTTGACAGAATATAATAGACTCCTGCCTCTCCCTGAAAAACTTGGTTGCTCTTTCCTAGAATTGTTGTCCTAGCTCTTAAATAAAATGAAAGCTCAGAATTGATGATAAAAAATAGATAAAT